TGAGTTGACTGCTCCCCTGTCTCCACTGTGCCCATGCCAGCCCCCCTTTGTAGTACATGGAGCAGTGGGACAATGTGTCCTGCTGCAAAGCGCACGGGGAGAGGTGTGCATTTGGGTACAAAGCAGTGGCACAAATTTGTGCCACTACTATTTGTGCAGCTGCAAATGCACACCCCTGCTCATATGGATGTGACCAATGGAACTGTACTTGTATAGATAGTTACACATTTGTATATTTTTTGTAGAATTGAGGTCTGTATAAATATTTCTCTCTCTCTCTCTCTTGTTTTAATGCTAGATGACCCTGAATTTAAGATGACACCCCGATAATTAGCTTCTATACATGGAATTTTTAAAAAAAATATATACTTCTGCATGTATAGAAGCTAATTATTGTCTTAAGTTTGTCAACAACACCACTGCAGTGGGGAAAGCAGTGTCAGGGGGCAGGTGATAGGGGATGTAGTTTGATGTGGGCAGGGGGGAAGGAAGTAGCTTGACCCATGCCCCTTCCCACCTAACACCTTGCCTCCTTGTCCCCTCTCCCCCACTCCACCCTGGCCTCTGCCCTCTTTCCCACAGCCTTGGGCATGCTGTGCCCTTTTCTCCTGTCTTCTTCCCCTCTTCTCCCTCCCACTTACCCTTGCTCTGGCTCTGTCAGGTGGCAGCCCCACTCCAGCCTGGGGCACGGAACACATGCTGCTCTGGGTCCTGCTCTGGACCAGCTTGGCCCAGGCCAGTAGCAGCAGCAGTAGTGGCTGACTCTAGGGCCCAGCCAGAGCTGCTGGTGCATCTGCCACCAGGCTGGATTGAGCCTAAATCTGTTTTAAGTGCCCATTTCTGATTTTTGCCTTTGCTCTTCAGCACTTCCTTTCCTTAATAACTTGAAAAGCTACACTTTCTTGGAATAAATAACAGATGTAAAAGGAAAGTATAAGGATGGTTCCATGGTTTAGAATAATGCTTGCTTTAGAGACAGCACCTTTGGTTTCACTAACATGGAGCAACTTTGAAGTACCGAGGTTCAATTCCTGCTCTGCTACAGATTTTTTGGGTCCACTGGTAGCATTCACTTGGTCTTCCCTTAAGAAAGATGTTTTGAGGGTAAGTTGCTCTGAAGATGAAGAGATTTCTAAATATTATGATATTAGAAGTTAAAACACCATGCCAAATAAATAACGAAGATCAATAAAAGCTAATAGCCTCTTTTGTTTATGTATTCCCTTTTAACTTCAAGAGTCCCTTGTTGTTGTTCTAGTTGAAGACCAGTTAGATTGCACCTTAAAGACTAACTGAAGTAGATCTATAGCACAAGCTGTCATGAGCTGAAGCTCACTTCATCAGATGCTGTGAAAAGATGTATAAAAAGAGAGAAATTAGAATGCAAAAGACAAGGGAGTGAGAGAAGTTTTTAAGGAAAATGTATACATTTTCTTTTGCATATTAAGACTACTGTATATAATAGTTTGTTACTCCTCTCTGTTCTGAACTTGGAGGGTAGCAAGCAGCATTCAAGATAGCATAGGCATTTCCCATGTGCCATGTGAGGGATTGCAGAGCAGATAAAGCATTCTAGAAAGACTGGGTCCTGAGAGATGCTATGTACCCCCAAACTATTTGACTTTTAGCTAGAATTGAGGGCCCTAAGTCTGGCCCCTGAAGCCTTCTGGGAAAATGTCCTTAATAATCCTTTAAGTAGGAAGCAGCATTTTAAAAGGAAAAAAAGATCTAAGAAAAGGCATGAAAGAAATAATCACAATTTTTGCTCTGTTATGCGATTGATGTTAGAAATGTTAATTGTATGACAACTTGAGCAGTACATACTGTCCATGACCTATTTTGGAATGACAAAAGACTAATGAATATTACTAAAGAATAATACCAAAATATTACTATAGTAAAACTGTGTCAGGTATTAATCCTAATATATAACTTCAAACATTTCTCTTGATTCTTTCATCATGACAGCCAGACTTTGGTTTCAATTATCTTTAATTTTTGGATGCCTCTACATATGAAAACCTTTGAAAAACTCAAAAACTTTGTGTTAATTCCAGGTTGTTCTTTTCTGCAGGGCAGCATAACTATTTATGTGCTGGAAGAAATGACTGCATAGTTGATAAAATCCGTAGGAAGAACTGTCCAGCATGCCGCTTGAGGAAGTGCTGTCAAGCTGGAATGGTCCTTGGAGGTGAGGTTGGCTTTGATTCAGGGAAGTACAAGAATATAACTATCTCAGTCGTAGTTTAAATGTAGCTTATGTTGAAGTAAAAAACTAGAGGACTTTCAAAATGCTATATGTTGAAACATTTCCTGACAGATTATTTTAAATAAATTTAAATTCTTCATTCTTAATTTGTCTGAATCACCTTGAAATCCTGAATTAATTAAAATTTCACAACTTCTTTATTTTGATTTATTATTTATTTTTGGAGTTGGAGAACCTGCTTTGGGAAAATAATTAAGAAGTAAGTTGAAATTAAAGCAGGTAATACATTGTTCATCTTATTGAGGAACAGGTTTTCATTTCTCAGAAATTTCAATGGCTAGAAATGTTCTGGGCAAGGGAGCTGTACAGGTCAGCCTTCAAATGCTCTGTCCCCTGCCCCTTGCATCTTCCCCAGGTTGCAAGATCCAATTCTGGGGAAGATGTGGGGTGCAGCTCCACTCCTCCCATTCCCAGAATGATGGAAGAGTGGGGAAGGACTCCTCATGTTTCCCCAGATTGGGGACACCCAGGTTTGGGAAGTGGGTACTCCACTTCCCTCCTGTAGACTAGCTTGGGAAGAGGCTGGAGCAACAGGGCAAAGCCCCTACCCATTCCTCAGACTGGGGACCCTGAAGCAAGTTGACCTGTCACAACAGTGAATGTTTTTGGTGGGGACCTCAGTTTGAGGAGCCGGTAGAGAACAAAGACCACTACCCCTCCACTCTTCTCCTGGTGGCTGGGAGTTGAGCCAAGGGAGCAGTGCAGCAATTCCCCAGTCCACTCCTGTAGTCTGGAGATTGCATGGGAGGCTTTGCTCTGCTACTTCAGTCCCTTCCTTAGCTCTCTACCACTGGTCTAAATGGATGTCAGCAAAATTGTATTTTTTACATTAGCAAAGAGGAAAAGGAATTGCTATCTCCAGTACTATGGGATTCAGGGTGCTGAGAACTGCGTTATATCTGTTACACTTTATAGCACAGGGCTTGCTTAGCTAGCTGGCTGGTTTCTCTGTCCAATACTAGGCAAAGCCAGCGTAATGCTGAACACTTGCTTTAGCAGACCCACAGTTTGAAAGGAACTGCCATATAATGAATTCAGTGATAGGATAGATATGCTTCATACTGAAAGGATAGATACTTATCCCTTTGTTTTTTCCAACCACTGCTGTAGATTTAGCCATGTGCTCTTGTTGGTCCTGTACAGCTCTTAAAAACAATTAGAGCAGCTATTTGAGGACAGCAGAATGGATGAACTAGAAAAATAGGAAGAGAAGTAGAAACAATAATTTCAGTAGGTAACCATTGATCCTCTGGATCATGGTGTACACGTAAGAGGTCTAGTCAGATGCCTGATGAATCTGTTTGTAGCTGACAAGCCCAGTTCAAGAGTGACAGAGCTTGTTACAAGTTTCACAGATCTGTATGTTAGATAAGTTGGAGTCAAAGTTCACAGCATGCTGCTTTTTTCTCGTTTTGCTTCCATCCTCTGGGTCAAAGCCGCATCATGTTGAGCTGTATCAGTGCCAGATGTTCCCTCTCTATCAGACAGGATTCTGTGCACTCCTCCCAGCTTTCTACGTTGATATTGAATGACTTTGTGTCATTTTTGGATGCATCGTGGTACTGGCATAGAGGGTAATGCTGCTTTCTAGAGCCATCTCAAGTCTCACTATACAAAATATTCTTGGGGATACCGTCTTCTCCTATTCTTCTGACATGGCCAATCCATTGCAATCTTTCCTTCTTGATAGTGGTTTCTAAGTGTGTCAGTCCTGCATGCTCTAGTACCTCTGGGTTTGCTATTTTGTCTTTCCACTTTATTCTCAGAATCTTATGCAGAAATTTCACATGGAAGCTATTCGCTTCACCTTCACAGATGCCTAGCATATGTAGTCCACGTTTCTGAACCATAATGCAGGGATGACAGACACAAGTCTTGTAGATTTGTATTGGCTAATATTTTGCTGTTATTCCATGCACATTTCTGTAATAGCCTGACATTCTTATTTGCTTTTCCAATTCTGTTCGTCAATTCAGTCTGCAGGTCAAGATTCCTGTTGATCATAGAACCCAAATAGCAAAAACTGCCCGTGGCACCAAGAGATTTATCCTCTAGAATAATGTTATGTATTGGTTCTTTCACCCCTTGGTATATGATCACAGTCTTCATCTTGAGACAAATTGCCATCCCAAAGCTCTTGCATGATGCAGAAAATGTGCCCTGGATATTTTGCAGGGAAGGTTTACTGTGGACAACGAAGGCTGCATCAGCGACAAACAGGAAACCTCTCAGAACCAGTCCTTTCATCTTGGTTTTAACTCTAAACTTTGCAGTGTTGAATAAGCCTCCATTTAGTCTGGTTTGAAGATAAATGCCATCATTCCTGTCCTTGAATGCATAAAGAAGCAGGAATGAAAAGTGGATGTTAAAAAAGCAAAGGATTCAAGACACACCCTGTTTCATCCAGTTGTGATGTCAAGTGTGTGATTCTTTGTTTTCATGCACTACAGTTGCCTTTATGCCTCAATGTAATGATGTAGTAATTTTTAAAAAAACAGAATAAAAGCAGACAGGAAAACTTGTTTATTTTAGTGTCAAGCAGCCAATTGGATTTTTTAATCTAAACTGTTTTAGAAGGAAAAGTTGTACATTGGGAAATTGTACTGCCTTTCTTATTTGAGACTTTATATCAAACTATTTATGAAATCTAGTTTAGTCTAATATTAGATTGTATAACTTAATGTATTTCCAACTCCTATAATAGCATGTGTTGTCAGATTATTCTGCATGGATGTGCACTGTTTTACTCCTAAAAAGTTTTTAGGGGTAAGGTTTTAGTGTTTTTCTTTTGTTTTTTTCTTAAACTATCTTACCACTTTTTAACTCAACCCAAAACTGCATTTGTTTTTTTGTGATAGCATCATGTAGCTGACTCCTGTTGAGTTTGATTTACAATAACTCCCAGATATTTCAAGGAAGTTATCCAGTTTTCTCAGCTGGGTCTACAAATAAAGACAAATCCATTTTGATACCATTTCAAAAGATCAAATTCAAAGAAGAACTTGATTAAACATAGCAATGGCTTACATACCTCAAGAGGTTTATACCCACTTTAAATCTCCTCAAAGAACTAAAAGCTGAACCAGGGACAGCTTTAAAGACGCAGTGTATCAGGTTCATATGTGATTCAGCTTGATGGAATTTGCAGCTCCGTTCAGCTTGCAAGCTGAGCAGGCATTCTTCGAGATGCGGTTAGCTGTGTTAGTCTGAAGTCAAGTAGAAGGCAGGACAGATTTGTACCTTAAAATCTAACCAAAGTAGATTATATAACACACAGCTTTTGTGGACTAAAGCTCACTTCTTCAGATGCAGTTTGCACGTATGTGTATGTGTACGTACATAGATACATTGGTCTCTAAGGTGTAAATCTACTCTGTCTTCTACCAGGCACGCTTAGGACATGCAACTTTACTTACCTACATGAATGACTGATATCTAGAATTGGTGGATGAACCAAAGCAATATATAGAAGGGGGTTCCTACCCATAGACTCCCCACTGTTGATGATCCTAAATAATATATGCCTTGGCTCTTGGCTAGGGAGCTCATTTGATAGACTTTGATCTCAGACATTGCTGACAACACAGAGACCTTAATTCTACATAAATTCCTTGGAGTTAAGAGGCTGCAAAGTATTGTCAGTGCAAAGTATTTCTAATTTCCATCAAAGGGAATCCATGGCAAGTATTAGCAAACAATATGATCACCATTTTTTATCTAAACGAATAGGGCAGAACCAAAAATCAGGTTGCTTGTGCCAGCTCCTGGTCTATCCGTGAGGCTTTTTTGCAAATGCAGCAAGATTGTGCCAAAGGTCTTACAGCTTACACTCCAGCAGATACCTTAGTTAGGAACTTCATGTCTACTGCAACTCGTCTCTGAAGAAAACTGTAGTGGAACTGAAATTTTGATTTAACTTTTCCTCCAATATCACTGATTCCCTGGTGGTCAGGAAACTAAAAGAAGATTGTTTATTGAGCATTGGTATATCAGTTTTCAAGAATACTCCATTCAGCACCTAGTAATACTGTCATTGACTGAGAGCCTGCTTTATCAAAATCAGAGTTGTAATCTACATGATAAACCGTTGAGGCATTTATCTCAGAGTATGGTTGACCAGTGGTTGTTCATAGGAAATATAGGTCTTTTTGCTCAATGTTTTAATTAATATAATTAAAAATAATAATTCAATACATGTCTACCAAAAATATGCACCTGGCAAAATACAAAAGGTTTTCCACCTGGTCTGCTTTTTGCCTGTTTAGGCTCAGAATATTTTCAAGTATTTACTTACTTGAAAACATATGAATCTCAGTAAGCTTGGTGTAAAGTCCACTTGCAGCTATATCAGCCAGCCCTTCTTCTAAACAAGGCACCTTTTTCCGCATCCCCTAGTGAGAAAATGTATTAGTTACCATTGGATTTCAACACCATCCTGTCTCAGCTCAGGGGATCCCATTTTGAGCCCAGGACCTCTTTCTTCTTGTTTCATCTGCCAATAAAAACAGCATTTTGATAGCAGTAACATCTGGAGAGTTTCAGTTGCAGGCTTTTGTGGCATGCCTTCTGATGAGGTCTGAATGAAAATGCATCCAAAACTTATGTGAAAAGCCATTTCAGGCTTTTACTTATACCAGACTGTGTGGCTGCTAGTTTGATTCCTGAAAGAAGGATGAGAAGAGATTTCATTCTCTGGACATTAATAGGGCTCTGTCATTTTATGCTCAGAGACCCAAACAATGTAACGCCTCACGTAGGTTTCTTATAGTTCATGCAGAGAAAATGAAAGGGCAGTCTGTCTCTGTCCAAAGGATATCAATACATCGGGTATTTCATATGGCCTGGCCAAAAGCAACCCTTCTGTGAAGGAAATTGCCCGTTCCAGCAGGGTGCAAAGTAACTCCATAGCATTTCTGTTATGG